AGAAGGTCAATCCTTGTCCAGCAGAGTTGCTTATGTCTCCTGCAGATGTGTGAGGGAAGCGTCTGGAGTTATGTCGTGTGTGTTGTGTTGCTCTGGTGCTTCTCCTGCAACTCTTAAAGGGAAATCAAATAAAAAAGAGGACAAAGGATCAGAGAAACATGGAGACTTCATGCTTTTCTGGAAGATGAAGACACAGAAGATGTAGAGCTGATGTTACTGGACTGGTTGACAAGAGGAGAACATGTGTGTGTCTGAGAGCAGCTGTGTGTTTGCCCCTCACACACACACACACGGCTGGTTTATACAGGCCTGGAGGAAGTAACGCGTCAAGAGAAATCCCAGAATGCCCACAGAACAAAACTAATTGATTATATAACAAAGAAAAATTATAATAGTGAGAAAGATGAAGACGGAAAGCCCATTTTCATTAATTTTTTGCTAAATCATCATGACCTTAAAAGGCGTAGCTATGAAATAAAAGTCGGAAATATGAGATAAAAAGTTTAAATTATAAGTTAACATCATCATAATAATAATTTTACGTCAAATTATAATATATTACATCATAAGATAAAGTCAAAATTATGAGATAAAGTCATAAGTGACAAAGCTGAAATTATAAGACAAAAAGTAAAAAAAAAAAAATGTCACAATTATATGACATCAAAATATGGAACGAAAAGTTAAAATATAAGATAACATTTTAACTGCATAATTATGGCTATAACAAAATAATAAAGTTTATGAAAATTATGAAAAATAGAGATATAAAAATATTAGATAAAAAGTTGATAAAAAGTCAAAATGATGAATGTCTTTCAAGTTGAAATTCAAAGCTCATAGTTATGAATATGTTGTCCTCTTTATCTCATAATTGACTTCTTAGGATCTTTACCTTTCACATTTTAAACATCCAAGGAATAAAATGTGATTCTCTCATTCAGACATGGCCGAAGATCCCCACTAAACAAGACTTTTTTTTGTTTGTTTTTTGTTAAACAAATATAGGCCTAACCGTAATATATAGTTATATCTCAAAACATAATTAAACAACAGCAACAACATAATAATAAACAGTAAGAAAAAAAGATAGTAAAAGCAAGTAAGAACTAAACAAGACTTCGCTCTCAGTATGTGAAGCATCATCATATTCCCGAGGCAGGCGCGGTCACGAGGATTTGAACACCGCCACTGTTTACGCTGATGTCACATCCGGGAAATCAGCATAGCGTGGCAGAAATATTTGGCAGTTAAACCATTTCCCGCACAGCTGACAGCATCATCACTGGCTAAATATTTACCTAAAGTTGTCAGCACTGCACTACAGTGAAGTGTTCGTCCTCAGTGTTTACTAGGCTGTAATTCTCCTCTTGTCCTCTGGGCGGCGATGCACACCATAACATTTTTCACAAATAACAATTTCAATCATATTCACCAGGAGCTAATATAAACGAACAAGAGTGACGAATGACGATTCAATGTTTGATGAAGTCGACATGAATCATAATGGCCAGAATTAAAGAAAAGGGCAGTTTAGCCACTCTTTTGCATACTACACAAATTCAAACAAATGTACTAAAGGTGTGGCGCCATCTTATGGGTATTGTGAAATGTAAATAGGCTACCTTGAAGTCATGCAGTATTAATGTCAAGAAGACTTCATTCACGACGTTTCCCCCTTTAAACGTATATAAAATTAGGTAGCCTAGCTAGAAAACACCTAATATAGACCTGTAGTCCTGTTGATAAAAGTTCTTATTTGACAATAAAATGACATATTTAAGTAGCCTATTTATGTATTTTAAATAAGCTAGACAAAATATAATCTCTCAAAGCATTTAGTCACAAATTATACCTGATAATTTTCTATCATGCTAAATAGAAATAAAAAAAATACACTGTAAAAATAAAAGTTGCTGCTTACATTTTTAAGTACAATCAACTTGGACGTTTAAGTCATTTCAACTTAAATGACATTAATTAACACTGACTTTTGTTGAATATTTAGTTGAATATTTTATAACTTGTAAGCAATGTAAAAAAAATGTCATAACTTATTAATATATATATATTATATATATATATATATTATATATATATATATATAATATATATTATTTTAATTAAAAAAAGTTTTAAATTGTCTGCCAATAAAATAATGTTTGTTTCTGTTTGAATTAATATATATATATATATATATATATATATATATATATATTTACCCGATTGGCATCAGATAATTTTGCTTTTTTAAGCATCCTCACTTAATTTTTATTAATTTCCCCAGGCAACAACACACAATATCTTGTGTCATTTTATTCATCTAGTAAATGCATCTTAAGAGTTTTGAGATATTTGGTCTGGAAACAAACAAGACAAAAATATTAAAGCATTTTTGGTGTTTAGGCTATATATCTCAAGTCATACAACAGATCCAGGATAAGATTGAAACGTGCTCTTGTTATGTATGTCAGGCTGAACATGTGCCGACTGCATGTCGGATGCTAAATGCTGGTCCGACCGAGTGCTCGAATGATGAGACATTAGGAGCGCCGCCTGAGGTTAAGGAGGTCTGAGGTTACAGGTCCATTATTCTGAGCACGTTACAAGGGGTTTGGTTTCAGGATGACCTTCCCTCTGTGCTCGTCTTCAGGGGTTCTGGGGGCCAGTGATGACAACAATGACAAGATACTGAAACTTAATCAGACAACAACTGCACCACATACCCAGAAAGTCTAAAGTACTTAGATAATTAGCTAGCAAGCAATTTTGCGTTTAAAAGACCAATAGCTGTCCGAACACAGCCCTGCCGTCTAGGCTAAAACAAGGCAAAATTTGGACTGTCAGTGAAAATTTCAAGGAGTAGTTCACTTTAAAAAAAAAATAACTTTTGCTGATAATTTACTCACCCCCATGTCATCCAAGATGTCCATGTCTTTCTTTCTTCAGTCAAAAAGAAATTAAGGTTTTTGATGAAAACATTCCAGGATTTTTCTAATGGACTTCAATGGGAACCAAACGGTTCAAGGTCCAAAAGACAGTTTCAGTGCAAACTGTTCAAAGGGCTTTAAACGATTCCAGACGATGAATAAGGGTCTTATCAAGTGAAACGATCGGTCTTTTTAAAAAAAATAACTAAATTTTATAAGCTCAAATGGTCACCTTGCGCGTTCGTGACTCTCGTTCGTACTCGTTTATCAAAATGAACAAGTATTTTTCCGTGTCATTCGTTTCATTCAACGAAAAGATCGGGAAAAGATTAGTTCATTTAGATGAACGAGTTCGAATAGCAGAGTTCAAATCTAAATATTTTCCCCCCTTTTGATTATAGGACAAATATGATTTGTGAGAGGTTTTGTAAGATTCACCGTTTCTGAAGAGTCACGTTTGTTATTGATGGGTCGGTTAGGTAAATGAGTAACACGAATACATAACAGTTCCTCTTATCAACTTCTGATCGAGTGAGACGAGAGCAGCTGCGTGTGCCACAACTTGAAATATCATGTAAATGTTTCAATAAAACATGTAAATGTTGTGTTTGGGAGTTGAGAGTGAGAAGTGCTGCATTTGGCACCTCCGAGAAACACTTCGTAAAGCATCCTTTCATTACCGACTGAAGCCATTTCTAAACAAATTACTAATGATTCACATGGGAAGAAACTGATTCATGCACCCTGCTCATTAATGAACCGCAGATGTTTTAAACTCAGGCTGAAAGAGCGAGGGCATTTAGTTAAGCCCTGTTAAACACTAAAGCGGATTAAAGCAGAGTTGCTGCTTTATGCTCTACTTAAGAAAATGTCCTTAGACAAACCTTGAGTAGGCCTAGTAGCCATGCATTTTTTTTCTTTTGATCTTAGGAAAAATTTCACATGTTAACAATGACGCATTGCAACTATAATATGCCCTTTTATTAAGACCTAAATTAGTTTTCAGGCTCTACTAGAACAGGTTTTCATGCTCGAATGTTGATTATTTTCCTCATATTCTCCATTGTTGCGGCTCCTCTCTTCCCAGTCTGTCAGTAACGCTCTGTTTACTTCCTGTCTCTATGAAGCCCCTCCTTCTGTGCTCTGATTGGTCGGCTGGAGCAGTGTGTTGTCATTGATCAAGCCCTTCAAGCTGTTTGGGAAATGTCCCGGCCCTTTCCATAACCGCTGCTGCATCCCAATTTGCATAATCTCCATCCTAAATAGTATTCAAAACTAGAATTGTTTTGAACAACACCAGAATCACTGAAGGGACGAGTCATCATTATGGTGATCGGTGTTTGCTTTAGTTGAGCTCTTGAACTATTCAAGAACTATTTAACTAGTTCTTAGTTGTTAAAAAACTACAAACATGGCGGATGAGCGAGTCTGACAGTTAAGAAGAGAGGTTAAGATATATGATTTTGAGAGATTAATAATCAGTATCCTGACGAAAAGATATTTATTCAGTGTTATCCACATTATATTTGATCTGCAACAGCATTGTGAATATCTGTAATGATACGTTTGGTCATTAACTTTTAGATGCATTATTATGCAAACACAATGAGAAGAGTCTCCGCATGAAAGATCACGACTGGTAGATCAAAGTGCGGCTTCATATCTCTCCAAAATGGTAGGAAATTAAATTAAATTGAATGTGGAGAATTTTAAATGTGACCAGATGATTGACAGGAACATGTAACTAAGCAACAGAGCGATCAAAGATGCGATTATGACGAAGTTTGGCCCAAACTTGCCTACACTCAAAAGTATGTATGTTTTCTTGACAAATACTACATATTTTTAGGGCATAGTATAAGTAGTAGGCGAATTGGGATGCAGTTCCGACACACTAACTAACTAACTAACTAACTAACTCACTACGCCCCGCCCTTTTTTCTATGTATTAATTATTTAAATGAAGAATATTGTGATGTGTTCGTTCCCGGAAAACTCAAGACTACAATGGAGGCGTTTCAAGGAGAAACACTGACACTGATATATAACTCTCTTTTTCATGCTCAAACAGCAACAACACACACTAAAGAGATGGACACATCAAGGTCTGAAATCGCAACAAATCGAGACGTTCGGTCAGAATACAGACACAATCACATTAAGTTGATCATCTCTTACAGTTGGGTCTTGTTGAGTCTCACGGGACGACGTTGACGTCAGAAATGGAAAGCATTCAAGTCCCTTCAGTAACAGCCCTGAGAACAGTCACTGCAACAACAGATCAAACACACACACACGTCACATTTCATCTCTTTAATTTGATCAGTGGAATGAGAAACCATGAAGATGTGCTACAATAATGATAAAAAAGAAGTGCATTAAATGATTTCTATCATTCTAGACTCAGACTAACATTCATAAAGTGATCTAGCTGTAGTGCCAATTACATAGACAGACATGAAAATGATAATAAATAATCACCATCTCATTCCTGGAATTATACAAAGTGTTTGTTTTTTTTTCTCTTAAAGTACAAAAGTGTTCATTTGAGCAGCTGCCGAGAGTCTTTACATCAACATGCATGAAGGAAACACATTTGAATAATCTTATAATCATAGAAAGCCCGTCTATTCCTCTCACAGGAGGACTTCGCTAAAGTCACAGAGTTTTGAGGCTGAAGTTATTAAACTTTGGCAGTTTATCTTTGAATCTTTTTCACAAAGAAAGAGCAACACACAAGATATACGGATAAACTCAGTCATAAAGTTATCATCACTCACAGTAGTTATTCACAGTGTGCGGCGCTCATGTTTAATAAAGTTGGATAAAGTCTCTGTTTGTGTTCATAAATGCCCGGCTTTAGCTGCCATAGGGGTCTCTAAAGTTAAACTGTGTGTTTTCTTTATTCCTCATATCGTCTTCATCTCAACGCCTTGTTTTCACAGAAGACAAACTGAGATATGCCTGAACTCGTTTCCATATGGGTGTAATAGTTCTGGATTACTGAAGTCCAGCTGCCTAAAAGTGTTCATATGAAGGCACTCGGTTGCTCTCGTCCTGTTTAAAGCTAAAGGAGTCTCAGTTTATCTCTCACAATCACTTTTGCTACGGCTTGGACCATCAGATGCTTGAATCTCGACATGCAAAAACTGTCCTCATAAACCCTATCAGTAATAGCAGTAAATCAATCACACACTCAATAACCATCAAAGCCCAGTGTTATTTGTCAAATCCTGCTGTGTGTGTGTGTGTGTAATTGGCAGTAGGTGGATTTTAAACACTAATTAACGCTGCTAATGCAGCTACTGTACGCTTGTTTCTCTGAGGAAGGGTTTCTCAGTCTCGCTGGTACAAATGTGCCCCTGAGAACCAGCGATTTACCTGTGTGTATCTGGCCTTGTGTGCACATCCTGGGCTTTTCGGAGATTTCAAATGGCCATGAAGGTGATATATATGATATAAAAATTATATCATATGACATTTAAAAATTAAATATCATTTAAATAGAGTGGGGAGAATCGAGAAACTGTCATACGAGGAACTTCAACAACTCATGCATCTCACAACAACTCATGCCGTCAGATCGATTAACCACATCTTTCATAAAAGTTTGTTATATAATGTGTGTGTGTGTGTATATATATTTATATATATGACACACACAAACATGTATATAATATACTGTAGGTTTTTTGTTAGTTGTGATTAATCGATTTGACAGCCCTATATGAAGAGTTCAGATGCAAAAGCCTCTAAGTGCCATTTGAAATTTTCTTCTAGAATGATCATTTTTATCAAACTTGTATATTTAAGTTCAGTAATTTCACTTAAATGGCAATGATAATTACCTATTAATTGTTTTTTAAGTGAAATTACTAAACTTAAATATACAAGTTTGATAAAAATCATCATTAAAGAAGAAAATTTCAAATGGCATTTGGCTTTTGCATCTGAACTCTTCATATATATATATATATATATATATATATATCCTGCAAGCAAAAAAAATTACACATAATATTTGATAAAGTTGTCACTTTTTTTCAGGGTAAGCTGTCATGTAAAATGTTGCAATTTTAAATAATTAATTGTATTATTATTATTCATTTTAATTATTAATTCATATATTATACTAAGCAATAAAATATTAATTTATAACAATTATAATGACTATAAAATTAATAATATACTATATATAGCCTATTTTTAATTATATATGTCTGTTAGCTTACTCATTTTTATGGTTTCATGATTTTTCACAATTATTTGACTATTTAAATTGATTGCCTAGAAGTCAGGTTCACACCCCATGCAGTGTGACAACATGCCCCGTTTAAAAGAATAGCTTTATGGTGTGTGTCTATACAGAAACTGACTCTCAAAACTAGTTAATCACTAGAATAACAGCTATGGCCTCCCCTATAGTAGTCAACATTTAGATCAAAACTTATTCCCGTTCCCGTACTTTTCATGAGCTTTTTTGATCCACTTCAAATGTTGACTGTATATTATTAGTAATAAAAAAAGTTCTCAAGCATCAAACATTCAAATGCCTTTTTTCCCTAGTCCAACATCATGCAATCTGTCCTCGTCATCACCACACACAACCCTCATCAGAATATTAGACAAGACGTCTTGATACAGACTCAGACAAACCCATCCAGGAAGATACAGCAAGGTCACCAGTCCCATGAAATTAAGGGGATAATGGGAATAATCCCAGGAACATGCGCCGAAGAGCCTGAGAGCGAAGCCCCAGCTGAACTCCCAGGCGTAGATGAAGCAGATGTAGATGGGAAGCCTCCTCCAGGTTCTCCATCCTCTCCTGAAGTGCAGGTGCAGGTAAAGCTTCTCCACCACGAAGCTGCAGCTTCCATACATGAAGAAGGACCACAGGGACGTGTGACCCTTCAAGGTCCGGTCCTCTTTCTCGAACAGATTAAACACAGAAGTGAAGACCACCTCATCCAGAAAGCCGTGCATCCCGAAGAACACGAAGCGCAGGAGTCCGGGTAACCCGCTCGCGCGCACCCCGTTCTCCTGATACTGCAGGTGCAACACGCCTTTATGAAAGATGTTTGAGAAGTATAACGCGAGCATGTAATGCACCACGAGCTGCGTGAGCGACACCACTCTGATGTTCTCCGTGCAGGTCACCAGATTCCCGATTAAAATCTGCAGGCAGATGTACAGGGACGGGTAGAAGACGAGGTGGAAAACGACCGGGCGCCCGTGGAAGCATCTCTTCTGCTGGTAGATCTTCTCCAGGAGCAGATGCGTGACGGAGTGCGCGATGCACAGGTACGGAGAGGAGAAACCCAGCAGTGTGAGGTCGTGTTCGTCCAGAAAGTGGCGCGCGGAGGACAGAAGGATGTCCAGTGTGACTCCGTGCATCCCGTAGAAATACATGCGCATCCACTGCGGTAAAGCGCGTGCTGTGTCGCGCGCCCCCGGGCTCGTCGTCGTCATCATCATCATATCTCTCCTTAAAACACACTCAGATGTCGACGCGTCTTTTTCTTAAAGGCCATTTGAGTCGCCGGTGACCCGCTGCACCCCCGCGAAGGCACACGATCTCACTGACCGCATTCTTGCTCTATCATTGGAAGGAGCGGAATGAGAAGAGAAGAAAATACAGAGACGTAATGACACCCTCCGCCAGGTGGCGCTGTCCTACACATCCGACTGTACAACGTCCCCAAAGTGCTGAATAGGCTACGCATCATAGCCTACAATTCTTCACAACAACACAATAATATATTAATTATATATTGTTTTATTGTATTATATATTAGGCTATATTGTTTGGTTATTTGTTTTATTTTTGCATTGGTTATTTTTTTTTAAATAAAGGAAATATATTATATATATTTTTATGTAAGTTTTTTTTTATAAACGTTATTTTTATGTTATATCTTATTACAATTATTTTATTGTGAAATATTATTTTTTTGTTGTTTATAATAATTTTTAATAATATTTATTATGTTTTGTATTTTTATTTTATAAATATTAAATATATAGCCTATATTTACATTAAACTATATAAGCTTAATTAAAAACATTTAGATATATTATAGGCTATATAACTTTATTCATGCTACTTTATAAATGTATATTTTTATGGTAAATGTTATTATGGATAAATATATTATTTATAAATAATTACACTCACCGGCCACTTTATTAGGTACCCCATGCTAGTAACGGGTTGGACCCCCTTTTGCCTTCAGAACTGCCTCAATTGTTCGTGGCATAGATTCAACAAGGTGCTGGAAGCATTCCTCAGGGAGTTTGGTCCATATTGACATGATGGCATCACACAGTTGCCGCAGATTTGTCGGCTGCACATCCATGATGCGAATCTCCCGTTCCACCACATCCTAAAGATGCTCTATTGGATTGAGATCTGGTGACTGTGGAGGCCATTTGAGTACAGCGAACTCATTGTCATGTTCAAGAAACCAGTCTGAGATGATTCCAGCTTTATGGCATGCCGCATTATCCTGCTGAAAGTAGCCATCAGAAGTTGGGTACTTTGTGGTCATAAAGGATGGACATGGTCAGCAACAATACTCAGGTAGGCTGTGGCGTTGCAACGATGCTCAATTGGTACCAAGGGGCCCAAAGAGTGCCAAGAAAATATTCCCCACACCATGACACCACCACCACCAGCCTGAACCGTTGATACAAGGCAGGATGGATCCATGCTTTCATGTTGTAGACGCCAAATTCTGACCCTACCATCCGAATGTCGCAGCAGAAATCGAGACTCATCAGACCAGGCAACGTTTTTCCAATCTTCTATTGTCCAATTTCGATGAGCTTGTGCAAATTGTAGCCTCAGTTTCCTGTTCTTAGCTGAAAGGAGTGGCACCCGGTGTGGTCTTCTGCTGCTGTAGCCCATCTGCCTCAAAGTTCGACGTACTGTGCGTTCAGAGATGCTCTTCTGCCCACCTTGGTTGTAACGGGTGGTTATTTGAGTCACTGTTGCCCTTCTATCAGCTCGAACCAGTCTGGCCATTCTCCTCTGACCTCTGGCATCAACAAGGCATTTCCGCCCACAGAACTGCCGCTCACTGGATGTTTTTTCTTTTTCGGACCATTCTCTGTAAACCCTAGAGATGGTTGTGCGTGAAAATCCCAGTAGATTAGCAGTTTCTGAAATACTCAGACCAGCCCTTCTGGCACCAACAATCATGCCACGTTCAAAGTCACTCAAATCACCTTTCTTCCCCATACTGATGCTCGGTTTGAACTGCAGGAGA